TCCTCAAATTTAAGATAAATTTGTTTTAATTTGTCCCTCAAATTTAAAATTGTTATTTTTAGTTCTTATAATTTTTAAAAGTCTTGTTTTAGTTCCTTAGGTCACTAATAGCTTATTTGAAAATGATTAATTAAGACAGTTATGCAATACCAACCGGGTTAATGTGATATTTTCAGTAATAGGGACACCAATATATAAATTTTATGCAATAATATTTGATAAATTTCTTAACAAAATTTGAATATAAAGACTAAAATAAGATTTTTTTTAAATTACAGGAACTAAAAATAATAATTTTAAATTTAAGTGATAAAAAATAGATTTACCCTAAATCTAAAGAAAAAAACATATTTAAATCTATCATATATGAATATTCATTTATAATGCTTATTTTGTAACTAATGAATTTTTTCCATTTACATTCGCATGTACAGATTCTTTCACATCTTTAGTTAAAACTATTTTTAAATGTCTGAGTTGACTTTTTAATGTTTCAGTATGTTTTGGTAAACATCATGTCAGTTAGTTGGGTTTATACTTTATAGTTACCGATGGATATGACTTTTGAATATTTAAGACACAAAAATTAAAATTAATTAATTTATAATTTTTTTTTGGTAAAGATATATAATTAAATACATACCAGATGTAACATTTTAATTGGGTGGACTATTTTTTGGGAACACATTTTCAGAAGGAATAGGATTTCTCATGTAGAATAGTTGTAACTTATAACATAATATGATTTTAGTCATATTCAACACTAACTTTGTACTGGTTGGTTTTCATCTATTTTAATGAAGAAAAAAAAAAGAAGAAAAAGGTTCTTTCATATTCAATATCGATTTTTTTTTATTATAATTCAATAATTTTTTCACACTCAAATTCAATGTTAATGTTAATTTCAGACCCAAATAAAGTAGCGTGAAATGGATAAAAAAAATCCTGAATATGTAGTAGTAAATTAGTAAGTAAATAAATAACTTAAAAAATATTAAAAATATAAATAAAAAATGTGTTAAATATTGCTTAGTACTTTCAGTTACCTGCAGGGTTCAACCTGACAAGTGATAATTGTCAGAGGATTTCGAAATCTTAAAAAATTATATTTTTTAATAAATTTATTATAAAATAATTATTTAATTTAATATTTTATAATTTAAATTATTTTTTTATACATTCGAAATATATTTCAGAGGTTGCATTCACAGAACTAAGAATTTTCCTAATAACAGTGTTCAGCAGCAGGGATGACAAATAAATTCATACCCATGACTCCATGAGTAATACTCAAATCTGTTCTAACTTTGATGAGGAATATCTAGTTTGACTGAGTACGGGTACGGGTACGGATATGGATATATATATATACTCGCCCTGTACCAATACCGTCCTTGATTGAATTATGTTAAAATAATTTAATATTTTATTATGTGTAATTATTTATTATAATGTAAAATATTTATAATTATTTAATTATTAAAAAATCTCTCATTAAAATATGAGATAGAAAAATAATTTAATTTTAATTTAAAAATAATTTAAAAATATTGTGTATATTTTTTATAAAATAATAATGATAATAATTTTTTACGGATACAAGTATGGGTACGAAAATTACATACCTGACAAGTACGGATATGAGTACGAGAATGAATTTGAGTCGCGAAAATAAAGACAGGTATCATAAAACTCATACCCGACCAGTCCGGTTACAATCAGCAGTGCTGTAGTGTGTTAGATCATCACCAATCTTATAACTGTCACCTCCCTCTCAAGTTGTAACCACTTACCAATTGTAGAAAACTATTAACCCATTGCCCTTTTTATTTTATTTTTAGAAACAGTAAATAATATGGTTAAAAATTAGTAAGATGATATATTTAATAATTTTTTTTATAAAATATAAATTTAAC